TATTCATATTATCAGCTAGGTGAAACATTTATTTTACAATGTTTATCTTTACAATGTTAGTACCTTTGAGAAAAACTGCCACTCCTCATTTATTCCTTTAAAACACAGCTGCCAAAAGGCAACATTTTCAGTGTTTTCAAGCTTTTTTTATGTTGCTGTTGTTGTGTCACAATGTTTCCTTCTACCTGTCAGTCACGTAAGATTAGAGAGACCAGTGAGCTGACATGTTGGACAAATGCACCATCACAAGACTGAAAGGTCTAACAGATTAGCCCCTTCTCTCGTGGGAAGAGTAAAACACCAGGTATCAATCTTCTCTGTGACTGCTCGCTGTATCTCACTAGAGAGTTGAGAGCTTGAAACAAATAATACTGTTGCCAACCAAATCTACAGAGATAAATGTTGGGATGGAAAGTGATCAAAGGAGGTGGCATTTAGCGGCTTAAAAAATGTCTCTCATTAATTCCGATTTGGTTTTTTTGCATCTGCGAGGGGGACTAATATAAAAAAATGTGTATTATTTTTAAATAATTTAATTATAATTATACTATTGTATTTCTCATTGCATGGTCAGTTTTTTAAATGTTGAATTTTTTATCATGTTTGTCATGTCTGACTGAAATTTCAGTCTTCAGTATGTTTCTGTCAAATGTAAGCGAATGCCTTCCAATTTGGCCCAGTGTGGAAATCCCTGCATGTGTCTGTGATCCTGTAGTCACTGTTAATCGAAATATTAGTTTGATATATAGCTATAGTACGATGTTATGATTTTCAGCTTAACTCAAGTCCAGTTCACCATATCATTTAATGACCTGTAACTCAAATTAAACTTTATATTTCATCATGATGTAAAATGTACAATAGCAGAGTAAGGTCATTTTTAACATCCTGTCACCAATGACAAAATTCCTCCTTCACTATAATTATCCTGTTTTAATATTTATAACCTAAAGTACACTTCCAACTTTTAAATGTCGGACAAAGTGGCTGAGGTTTAAGTATCCTTGAGGCAGTTTATGTAATGAGGTGATTATTTGACCTTATTATGTATGGCACATTTCATTTTATTGAGAGAGTTGTGTATTTATTATGAAAGCTTGTTTAAAGACTTCTTCCATCAAAACCCAAAGCTATGCAAGTTGGACTCTTTACATTAAAAAAGCACTTTTTTTCAGTTAGTATGCAAATGACCCGTCTGTTCCATCTCTCTTCATTTGATTTGTTGGTTTTCCCACAGAGTGTACCAGAGCCCAACGCCCCTGCAGTTCTCCCTCCATCCCTGCAGGATATTGAGGAGCTGTCAGAGGCTGTGACAGAGCTGAGCACTGTAGAGGAGGTCATGAAGTACCTGGAACCAGAACGATGGCAGATGGATATGGAAGAGTTGTACAAACCTACATGGCATGTGCTGGGCAAATCATTCATCCACAGTAGGAAGGCCCGAGGTAGGACAGTGTTAACATGTTTGTTTTATGAATTAAATGTAAATTTAGTCCAAGAGCCAGTGCTGAAATGATTAATATTAAAAGAATATGTTTTGGTGAAATGTTGTGTTGAAATAATAACATCTGATGCATTTGAGGTGGAGCTGATCTCAATCTTCTGAGGGAAGAAGTTCAACTCTACAGCTGCACGCCACGTAATTTCTCGGTATCCCTGCGTGAAGAGCTGAAAAGGACAGATGTCATTTTCTGGCCCAGCTGCCTCCTGGTGAAGCGCTGTGGTGGAAACTGTTCCTGCTGCTCTCACCGCTGCTATGACTGTCAGTGTATTCCTGCCAGAGTCACAAAGAAATATCATGAGGTAAATTTAATCATGGCATGATGAGATCCATTTGATGTTTATTTTGTT